GCAACTACTACTGATTCCATGTTGTATGTGGTTAGAAGCTAACAGAACAAACAAACATGACTTCGTTGTCGTAATCAGAATATTTTACAACAGGGCGCAACTGAGTGGCCGGACGAAATTTACCCGGGAGCTCACGACCGGTTTTGTGGTTCAGAAGGTTCAAACAAATATACCCAGCCTTATATTTCGCCGAGCTTGGCAATTTGTTTGCCACTGGACAAGCACTGATGATGTCACAAACAAATTGCCAAGCTCGGCGAACAGGCGAAATAGAATTCAGTTCACCCCAACTACAAGAACCGATTTTCAAAACTTTGTCAACACCCAGCCTTTTAAGTATGCGTCTCGAAAATAATCTTTCTAGGTCTCAGTACGTAAATGATCTGACACAAAATTACTGGGAACGATGCGTGCCTGATGCGAAGCAAGAGCCACAAAACTCGGTCGCGTGCTTCAGGGAAGCTTTTATCCAGTCATGTGTATATGATATAACAAGTAGTAGTATTTGAAGACAAAGAAAAATTACCTGGAACTGGTAATTACCGCGGAGTAGGCATGCGGATACACTATTCTCTTATCTAATCGTTTCCCAACATGAAGGCCCGGTGTATATTTCCCCACAAATTAGAATTATTTGATGAGAACACCCAAATTTCAGGGAACAGGCATTCATTAACCCATCGGAAACTACCTAAAAGGGCAAAACATTCGAGGATTCGAGACTGGCAGAAGCCTGCGTCAGCAGTTACTTTGGGCAATGAAAGACTAGGTGTTGCTAACGGGTTAGTTAGGGTAGGTGGGGTGGGTGAAAGGACCAGGAGAGAGAAAGCCAGCGAGAAAGCCTGTAACCGGACTTCTCGTTGACGTGACTTCTCCTTAAGCTTAATGTCTTAAACGAAGTTGACAATCGACGGGAAATTAAATCAATAATAACCGGACACATTCTGATTTATTTTGTAGATTCAATTTGCTTCTCCTTTCACACAGAGAATGCGGAAAAGTAAAACACATGTGTGAACCTCTTGACGCCGAAACCGTTCACGGATAGAGCACCCGAAAGATCGGACCGGGTAACAGTCAAGTACACCTCCCAATGACAACAAATAAACAGAGAATGTTCCGTTAATTGGCCCAGTCGTGATTATCCTATTAATGAAATCGATACAGTTATCCGCGTGGAAAACAAACGTAGATCAGGAAATGAAGAGAATGGGTTTGTATGTGTGTATGTGTGTGTGTGTGTTGATCAAACAAGATATAATTTGCTCGGACGATGGTGAAACTCATTACAGTATAAAGAGACCAAATGGATCAAAACAACGACCAAGAAAAGCTGATTAATCACAGAAAATGTGTCCCTGGGGGTGCGAAAAGCCATTAAGCCTCAATCTAGGACAGTGAAGATCACATCCAAGTGACTGCAAAACAGGCCGACATTTATAATTCATAAATGAAACACAATTGTACTTCCAATTAGTTTGCTGACTGTCTTAATATGAAGAGACCGAAACTTGATGTGGCGTGATGTGTGCACCTCTGTGATCCAACGAGCTACATAGAATTGATTTCGCTAAAATTAAAAAAAACATTCTGTCATGCCTGAGTGGTTAGACAAAGTTCATTCTCATTCTCTCTCTCTCATTCTCATATCACACTGTGTTGGAAAAACAATTCGCAATTAGTTTTTTGGGGAATAAAGGAGAACAAGAAAGTCGTTCAAGGTTTTAAGGCAAGAGTTACAACCCTTGTTTGTTTTGAAAAGCACAACTTGAGAATTCCCTTATGCTAAGAGGAACCACAGCCTATAATGCTGCCTTCGACATCGGCTCGAGGGAACAAGGCTAGACTGTTCTTACACAGGTTACACTGGTAATACATAAATTAATCCTA